CCTGCTTCGCCATTCCTCTTCCTCCCTTATCTTGTAGGAGTACAAGTGGCTCTTTGTTCCTCTCTATGCCTTGCAGCCCAGCACTGAAATAATTCACCCTTCCTCTCCTCATTGACAGACATGGACATCACTCTAGGAGTGAGGACAGAAATCAGCAGGCTGCCCTCTGCCCGAGGCTGAACTGGCTCCACGGGGCGGGGGTGGGGGGCAGGGGGGGGGTACATGTGGAGGCGGCTTTGATAAGCTCCTGTGGCCACTGCACCGGTGGACCAGCCTTTGGTGCCTCCACAGTGTGTGCGTTCCTACCCCCCATGACCTGGCCCTTTGACAACACCGTTTGTTGTCATCGGTTTCCTGATGCTTGGAAGGCTGGTGAAATCTGCAGGCAGTTTCTTAAATCTTAGAGGAGGAAAGGCTGCATACTAACTCTTTTGGGACCTGCTAGTCTCTTTTCTGGCTGGGAAGAAGCTCATCTATAGACTGAATAAGTGCTCGGTCATTGGTTCCATTTAATTCAGCAGATATTTACTGAGAAGTTGCCTGGGGTCAGACATGATGCTGGGCGAAACAAGTCATGAAAGATGAGTGGGACCCAGACCCTTTCCCTCTGGGAGCTGAAAGCCTAGTGAGGGCTGTAGTAAGACATGTTTCTGAATAGCCTGAAAATCTAATAAGAGGCAACAATTCTATAATATCTTGGATTTTAGGTAGGTCGAGATATGGCAGATTCATTCTGACTGGGACAGGATCTGGGAAGTTTCAGAAGGTGACGAAATGCAAAGAGGGCCAAGGAGAATGTGTATAATTGTAACAGAGCGTGTTTGCGGGCATGTGGTAGGGAGGAGGATGGATATGAGAAAAGGTATTCCAGATGGGAAATGAAGAAAAAAGACTGCTGTGGTTTGTGTAGGGTTGAATTCCACATATGCGTGTGTCTTAGCTTGGGATGCCACAAAAATGTCGTACATGGGGGCTTAAACAACAGAAATTTATTTTCTCACAGTTCCGGGGGCTAGAAGTACAAATTGGGGTGCCATCATGGTTGGGTTCTGATGAGAGTTTTCTTCATAGCTTATGGACAACTGCCTTCTCACTGCTGTGTCCTCACATGGGGGAGAGCGAGAGTGAGAGCCAGATAGGAGTTGCACAGCAGTGACCTGGGCACCACTCTGCTCTCTCTTTGGCCAACTTCCTAGGGTCTCAGTTAACTCATCTGCAAAATGAGAGAGCAGGACTAGATGACTTCAAAGGCAATGTAATCCTTCTTTCTTCTTTTTCTCCACAACTCCCTCCATTCCTCGCTCCCTCCCTACATCTTTTCTTCCCTCCTTTCCTTTCTTTCTTCCTTCTTTTTTCAAAAAAATATTTGTTAAACACTCACAAACCTTATGCTGTATATTATGAGATGGGTGTTATGATCATATAGCACTGCCATGCTAAACATCTTGTCTATCCTTGATAACACAGTGCAGTATAGGTGAGCCTGTAGAAAGGACAAAGAGATTGTGCCACCTTGTCTGATCACCTCTGAACCACGCCCAAAGTTCTCCAGGTGCTTTTCCTCCATTACCCACACCTTCTGCCCCCTCAGTCTTGCTTTTGCTGGGCCTCTAACTGGGCAGAATTCTATTCTAGCCCATACAGAAGAAGGCAAGTGAGTCTTTCCGTACATATCGAGATTGTAGATTGGAAAATACAGGGTCTCTTGTGATGGCCTGCCTGTTCACTGAGTAAGAATACTCAATGTCTCTGTCTGCAGACTCTGAGAGATTAACCACCACCTCTTAATTGTCTGATAGCAAGTTTATGCTGACGGATATAAAATATTAAGAAAATAAAGCCTTTACGGGTCAAACGGTTAACATTAATATTCAGGGAGTACCTACTATGTGCCTGCTAGTGAGGTCTGCTAGACTTCGATCGAGTTGTGGCTGGTGCCTTTGTCCCTTCTCTCTTCCCACAATACTCGCCTTCTAGACATAAGTGGGAGACATTTAGTTTCCTATATCTGACATTTCTAGGAAGCCCTGTTCCTAAGAACTTGAGTTTCTGGCATCTCAGAAATTTTTCTGAATTGCCAAGAAGAGGTGACTATGCTGATTATTACTACTTTTCTTAAAACAGATAGTACTAAATAAATCAGTGCCATTTCCCCCTTCATTTAGATAAACTGATCTCAATTACCAGGAAGGCTTTGAGCATTCCAGGGTTTTTTTCTGACCAGTTTCGGCAAGCAAAGTGAAACAGCAAATCCACACGAGTCCGTGATGGCACATCTACCAGGCTTTCCGTTCCCGGCACTGCCCATCATTTGCTCTAAGTTGCCTCCACTGGAACAGGCAGCCTTGCCAGGCCTCTTTGTCCAGATGTCTCCCTGGGGACCGGTGACTCTGGAGAGAGTTGGGTTTTGCTGCCGTCAATTGCTGAAAACTCATGATTAGCTGGAGACTGTCAGTCACCGATTGCACCCAAGTCTGTTTTTGCACAGACTTCTTGTTTTGAATCACTTCTCCCTGCCTGAGTTTATTATGCCTTGGCTTCTCATTACCCATAGTAAAGCTCTCTCCAGCTTGCTTTACTCTATATCCATTCTTTCATGGCTATTTTAAACACACAATTACTAGGAAAGAATAGGTGACTTTGAGGTTTACTGTTAACATCAACACCTGGCTCTCACAGTAATGCAGCAATTCTCTACCTTGCAGAATTATAGGTTCTGTTTTGATTATATGGGTTCATCTGGGTTATTTCAGCAATCATTTGAAATTTTATACATGCACACACACACATACACACATCTTTCCAGGAGGCTACAACAATGACAATTTTTAATGAAATAGAAACTTGCATTGCAATTCAGTGACTATAGGCACATTGACCAAAATTGTCTACCAGGTAGTTTTTGTTCATACAGAATCTGATTATTTTTAATAACAATAATAATGATAATAATATCATTTATTGAGCATTCCCATTTCTAAGCAGTTTAAATATACTAGCACCTTAAAAAACACACTAAATCAAGCTGAGAGGATATCAAATGTAGGCAGACACTATGTGTCCACTGAATTCAGATAATTAACAATATCGTACTTTCTTGGAAACTCATATCCCTTTGGTTGTTTACGGTAAGTTCTTTTTCTCTTTTTTTCAGAGGACCTGGAGGTAGACTGGGCAGAAAGAGCCTCCTGAGAAGCCCACAGAGCATGTGGCCCTCTCCCTCTCTGGGAGGAGCGGCTGCTCTTTGTTTCTTTCACATCCCTCCTCATTGTTGCAAACTGACACGTGTGTGTCTCCTCTCCTTAGTACCACTCTATCTTCATGAACACTGCAGTTTGGTACAAATTTAGTGCTAAAACTTGATTTGGCAACTTTGGAAGAGCATCCTGCTTTGTTCTCCTGGTCTCACCTTGCCACTGTCCTTGAGGTTTTAACCTGGATGATGTAGAAAGTATAAACTTCAGGAACCTACACAGGAGTTATACAAGAGTTAGTATGTGGGTAAACCTTCCCATAGCTCCAATGCTCTCAACCTGGGCTTTCCTCTTTTTCTTCCACTTCCTAGGATACTGTGGCTCCTCCAGGGTTGGAATTAGGGAAAGACTGGGAGGGAAAGGGGTACATACATATGTTCTTGCTCACTGATATTGTCATGTGTTGGCATCAGCACAGTGTGGAGCACACTCCGTTCATGGAGCTTTTGGAGACCTCCCACCCCATCACTGAGATATGCTCTCTGGCAGTTCACCTTGATAATGGTAAATGAGTTCTTTAGGCAAGTTATTTCTTATTCCTTCCTCAGCCTCGAGCCGTATAGTAATGTACTTCCAGCTTCTCTCTGCTAGGATTCCTTGACCCCTGCCAGTGGCCTGTGGAACAGGATTTAAGATAGCTTCAAGCCAACTCTCCCCTTTGCATGGAACACTCCTGGTCCAGGGAAATCACATCTATGCTTTGTTCCATGAAACTCTAAGGAGGGACCTCCTTCTCTTCTGCCTGCAAAGTGGCTGGCTCCCCACAGCAACTTCCCTTTAGGTTTCTCAGGAGTGATTGAGGTTGATTGCGGGCTCCTTTGCCCCAAGCTCGAGACAAGGGTTAAGATTAGGCTTAGGTTAGGGGAGGGCATCTTTAAAGCCCATTTCACTGCTTTTGAGCAAGAGAAACATATCTCTTATTCTTACACCTCTCTTAAACCTTCCTCAAAATTCCCTTCTATTCCTTCTAGTATTTCCACTCTTTCTCAGCCTCTCCAAGTTCTTTTGTGGATTGGAGGTGGGTGTTCAGCTAAATCCCCAAATTGGTCCTCAGCTACCTATTTTGAAAGTCCCTGCTTTTGCTTTCTCACAACTCACTTTATGATGTAAATGAGGTTGAGCTCTTGTCTAATGGCCCCGGTCAAAACTGCGCTGTGTTAGCTCCATTTGAACATTTTGTTTTACGTACAACCAAACAGAATATTGGCAAAAGTTATGACTAATCCATTCATAGATGCAATCATATAAATAGCCAATACACATATTCACAGATGCTCGACATAATTGTGAAATCTTGGAAATGTAATTAGAGCAATTAGATATGTTTATTTATCATATTGGTGGAATGTAAATGATTGATACAGATAGTAGTAGTGGCGTGTAGGGAAATAATACATTGTTGGTGGAGTATGCATTGGGATAGTCTTTTCTGGAAAGCAATCTGTCAGTCTCCATTAAGACAAGAACTGTGCACGTTCTTTGAGCCATCATTTCTATACCTCTTTTTTCTACCCTAGAGAAATATTTGTCCATGTACTTACAAAGGCAGGCCAAAGTCATTCATTGCAGCACTGCCTGTGAGAACAAAAGCTAGAGAAAACCTATCAGTGGCAGGAGAGTTAAATTAGCAATTTCCAAATCTGCCTTGAAGTTAGTGGTGTGGTATTAGTGGAAGGAATATGGGTCATTTCCAGGTTATGTTTTTTAACAAGTACGTGTACCTTCTCCATGCTCTTCCACTTATAGGATGAATATAATCAGAAGACCCTAGGACTTGGCTGGCAACCAGATGGAAGGAGCTTAGGTTCCTGAATGGAGAAAAACAACCTGTCAATCTGCATCACTCTCATTGGACCAATTGGTGAATAAGACATAAACTTCTACTATATCAAGCCACTGACATTTGGGGATTTATTTGTTAAAGTAGCTAGTGTTACCTGAGTACAAATGATACGTAGCAGTTAAAAAAGAAGAAGTAGATTAGTATGTTTTGACTTAACCATATCTCAAAGATATATTAACGAAGAAAGCATATAGCATCACGTAGATTAAATAACATTTATATATATATATATATATATATATGTATAAACACAGAAAAAGTTTTGCAGGGTAAGCACCAAACTAACAATAGTGAATGCTTCCAAAGAGTGAAATGGGATTGGGTATTGTGGTAACTGGAGACTTTTGCTTTGTATTATTGAAATTTTTATGAGAAGAATATTTCTTGTATTACTTGTGTGATTAAAATTATAAAAGAAATTGGATTGGCTCCCTGGGCAATTGCTTGGCTCGAACTTCTCATTTTTGTTTCTGTCCTCATTTATGTGAGGAAAATAGATAAAAGCTTCTCATCCTGCCCTGTTCACTAATATCCCATAATCAGTAGAGATTATTGGGAATAATTCCCAAATTAGGGTTTTTGGCCCAGTTATGAGGAAATGTATCAATAATTTAAAAAACACACAAAATACTCTAACTTGAGAAGACAAATGCTAATCAATCAATTAGGACACAAAAATAAATATATGCAGATTTAGAAATATTTTGAGGGGACTGTTAACGTAGCACTATCAAATTCATAAATATGCCTTTTAAAGAAAACTGGATTTACTCAACTGCCGTGACATCACCTTTCATCAAGCAACGATGGCGAAACTTCGCATTTTGAATTCATTATGTCAACAGCATGGCAAGAATGGAAGCACATTTCCTCTCTGCACTGCTTATGGCATCTGGTGAGTCACTGCGGTATGTTTTCTAAGAGAGTAAGAATATCTAAAGTGCCCAGTCATGAGTGACCCAGAAAATAGTGGTAACAAAATGCCTTTTCTGCTCCCCTGCTACTCTACTTTTTATTCATTTCTTCCTTCAGGCTTGCTCTGCCAGCTGGGTCATTGACACATTTACACAACTGTAATTGGTGCCTCTTTGGCTACCCCTTGGGTTACTGAGGCAACTGCCTGTTCTTATGCCCTTTGAGAAAAACACCATTATAGACTCTCTTAGAGGCTCTGTGGCTTGGACTAACCTGGTCTTCTCCCACATCTTCATAAGGCCTCAACTTCAGATCATGCCTTAGGTACCACATACCACTTCCCTACAGGGAGGGAAGCTGTGTAGGTTTAAGTCTCATTCCTCTCTTCTCCTCCTTTTCATTTCATTCCTCTAAACAGGGTAGGATTTTATCTTACACTCCCCATTTCTTTCCCCATTTTCCCCCAACATTTTCTTTTTCAACATTTCTTTTCCCCCAACATTTCCTACCCTAGTTTTATTCCATAATTCTTGCTGCAGCATTTAGTAAGATTCAGATAAAATGAAATAGCAGTGTATCAGTGTGCTTAGCAGGAACACCATAATGTTACTTTCCTTCCCTCGGTGTCTCATTCCTTATTTTCTGCAGGAGTTTGTCAGTGTTGTGAAATACCAGCCAGGTAGGATTTTAAGCTGGGAGGTTTAGACTGGAATACCAGCTGTTGTGCTTTATGGAAGACGAAAATGGTTCCACCTGAAAAGGATGAGGGTGGTAAGGTGGGGCAGCTCAAGGGTGAGTTAGGAGCTAGGGAAGCCCATGGATGACAACTGCTGCCTGCAGAAGCTCACTATGCCAAGGACCTTCTGCCATCGACAGTTACAACAGTTACAACATGGCAGTAAGCTTAACTTCCAATACGTGAAAGCTAACCTCAGGGTAAAAGAAACGCAGCAAGGAAAGTCTAAATCCTACCTCACTGTGTATGTGATTGCTTACTAGTGCAAAGAGGAATTGTGGACTGAGCAACCAAAGTGGTGGAGGGATCCAGCAGGAATGAGAAGATGAATGACTGTCTTTCTGTAAGTCAAACTCTCCCTTTTGGTTGAGGTGTCTTTGCTCCCCTCTGCAAGCCTCTGCTGACCTCATTCGCATTCTGCCAACAATTTGCGCGCGCCTGTCATCTTCAGCCTGAGGCTTACATGGATCCTGCTGTGACCAGCATACAGGCTCCTCCACTTACTCTCTCCTGCGCCTGCTCTTCTGCCATGGCTTGTGGGACCCTGCTTGTACTGTGGAGAGGCAGTCCTTCATCTGGTGCCTTCCTCATCTTTTTCCTCTTTTTGTAGAAACTCTGCTTCCCTCCCTCCCTCTCTCCCTCCATGTACAAGTCTCCTTGCTTTCCAGAGCTCCTTCTGAACCATCGGCTGATTCTGATTCTTACAATTTGAATGCTTCAAGTGATTGCACTATTGTCTCCCACTACCTCTGCTTGCTTCCTTTTCCTAAGTAATTTTAATGTCTTGTGCAAGTCTTTCTTTTCTGCCATCTTGGGATTCAAGTTAATGACCCTAATCTCATCCTCCTTGACTCGATTGAATGCTAATTTTGTCCCCATCTCCATCTGTCCCAATTTCATCCATCCCAGGCTCAACTCAAAAACTATCCCTTCGTCACAGTTTTTCCTGATTCCTGCAGCGACAATTACAATTTACCTATTGTTTTTCTGGATGACCATATTCCTTTATTTATACCATTTTATGTGTTTAAATTTTTTGATCTTGAATAATAAAGGTTTCCCCTTGTTAAAAGTAGGATACTTAAGGCCAAGAACTGTGTTTTATTCATATTTATATTTCTGTCAACCCGATTCCAGCACCTCCTTTTGCACTTGCCATGCAGAGTGCACTTAATAAATGCTAATTTGAAGACTGAATGATGACACCTGCCTCCTTATCTTTTCCTGTTACAGTGCTGCTTATTATAGTGCCATAAACTACAACTCCTGAGCCTCAAGAGTCCAGGAACTCCTTGGATCACTTCTTCAATGCTATTTCTAATAATATTCAATAATGTTTTTAAGCATATCTTGTATGTTGAGCCCTGTCCTAAATGTTGGTGAAAGAGTATTCTAACTGGCCCCAAAGGAAGCCACTTGTCCATCCCTAGGGCTGGGGGAGGACCCATCAGCCCACCTGAGCCATGAGGCCTGACCAGGATTATAAAATTGGGGAGGAGTAGTCCCTAAAGCAAAGAAGATGTGTCCACTCCATTTCCCACTTAACTTCTTCCTTGCCTCCATCCTGTAGCCCTCCTCTAGAGTAGGCTAAGATGCAATTCTGAATAAATCCTATTTTGTTTAAAATCCTTCAGTAGCTTTCAGCATGAAGGGCCCACTTTAGCATTTAAGGCTTTCCTGAGCTTCCTGTTTCTGAAGCTTCCTCTTCTTGCACTAAGCCATATACATGCCCACCCTTAATCATGACAACCTTCTTTTAGTACTCAAACCTGGCATGCTATCTTGAGCATCTGTGATTTCTTCACTTCCTATTTTTTTTTCCTTTCTAAATGGTTTCTTTTCTTCATTTTAACCTGGTTTCTTAGTCAGCTTGGGCTGTCCTAACAAAATACCATAGACTGAGTGGCTTCAACAACAGACATTTATTTCTCACAGTTCTGGAAACTGGAAAGTCCAAGATCAAGGGGCCGACATACTCCGTTCTTGGTGAAAGCTTTCTTCCTGGCTTGCAGAGAGCAGCCATCTCACTGTGTGTTCACATGACCTTTTCTTTTTGTGCACTTAGGCAGAGAGAGAGAGAGAGGGAGAGGGAGAGGGAACGAACTCTGGTCTCTCTTCCTCTTCTTATAAGGATACTAATCCCCTATTATAGGAGCTCCACCTTCATGACCTCATCTAAACCTAATTACTTCCCCAGAGCCTCACTTCCTGATGCCATCACATGGGGGAATAGGGTTTCAACGTACGGATTTTGAGGAGACACAAACATTCAGTGCCTAACAACTAGGAAACTCCTTTTCACCCTTTAAACTCAGTTTAAGAATCATACATGCTGGGAATTCCTCTTGACTTCTCTGTTTTATTTAAAATTCTCTTCTCTGTTCTTATAGCATTATTTAGTTTGCTCTGTCATAGCACTTATCACACCTTCTATAATGGTGAGTTTACATGTCTGCTTCCTTTTGTTTTATTCAATTTTTGCATTCACAGCACAGCTCAGGGTCTGGCTTATGGTATGAACATGGTAGCTTTAAAGGATTTAACTCTCAATATTTTTCAGGCCCCTCTATTAAGTCCAAAATAAATAATTGCTTTATTTACTTTTCTCACTTTTAGAAGTGTTTATCTTGGGCACATTTATTATTTGATTGTAGAATTTTTTTTTTTTTGCAGTACGCAGGCCTCTCACTGTTGTGGCCTCTCCCGTTGCGGAGCAACAGGCTCCGGAGGCGCAGGCTCAGCGGCCATGGCTCACGGGCACAGCCGCTCCTCGGCATGTGGGATCTTCCCGGACCGGGGCACGAACCCGTGTCCCCTGCATTGGCAGGCGGACTCTCAACCACTGCGCCACCAGGGAAGCCCTGGTTGTAGAATTTTGTGAAGCTTTCTATTCATTTCTATTTGGATGAATATGCTATTTCTAGTTGGATGATTATTAATAGTTGATGTTGTTATTGAAGCACTTATAAAATGGAGTTATATTAATTATTCATTTGCTTCACTATCTCACTCTATTATGAAGTCCCAGAGGTTGGGTCCACATCCTATTCATTATTGCACAACCGATGCCTGGTACACAAAAAGTGCTCAGTGAATGTTTATTGAATGAATACAAATACATACCCTGTTTTTCCAACGAACCTCTCACCTCCTTGTAAAAGTACTGAAATTGACTCCTTTTTTCCACACTCTTTAGATCCCACCTTCTTGTGTCTTTTAAGAATCTCTGCTTATAACATTTCCCCCTTCTTTCTTAACTAGGAAACGGAGACACTAAGAAGAGTATATGCCGTCTGTCTGTGATGCCGTCACACCTATGAGTTCTAACTGGAGGACAGGGGCAACTAAATGAGAGGAGGCATCAGGAATCCCATGTGGCAAATTCACGTCATCTTCATGTCAGTCAGATGCAAGTGAAGACTAAGCAGGTCTAGGCCACAGACAAGGAGCCTCTGAAAGTCAAGGTAGGATTGAGTCAGTCCCTTGGTTGAAACTGTGAGCAGCAATCATTTGGAGAAAGGCTTTGTGGCTATCATTTTCTCCATTGTTACATGTGAGGAAATAATGTGAGGAAATGAAGAGGTGCCAGAATGAGAATCAAAAGGTCAGAGTCTTAGTGTCTTTTTTTTTCTGCTTGCCAGGTGTTGTGCAAGTTATAAGTCCTAAGAGCCTTGGTTTCCATATCTCTGGTGTGGGATAATCACACCTATCCTCCTTTCCGCATACAATTGTTTCCCAAATCAAATGAAATGAGGGCTGTAAAATCCACTGCAAATTGTTAGGATGTTTACCAGTGTGTGTGTGGGGGTTATTACTTTTACTATTATTTTATAGAGGAAATGGTATTCTTACCTACTTCCCAGATTTACAGTGGTAATTAGACTGCCCACTTTGCTATACCCTGTACTACCGTTACACTCATTATATACATGTTTTCAAGAAAAACCATAACTAGTCCTCAAATAAGAGAGCTTGACAGCGCCATTTGTCACACCCAGTTCATCCTAACTTTACCTGGTAATTGGGGAAACCATCTATGTTAGCTCATTAGCTTTATCCCGAAGAAAAACAAACTTCTCATACCTTTCGGACAACTTGGAAGAAAGTGCCCACCCAAGTTATGTCCCTACCTTCCCACAGAAACTGGCAGACAGGGGTGCTATCTCTCCTGATGTTTGCATTTCAAAGAGATAGCTCCCAGGTTCTTGACAAAGGCATTTTGGGGTTATCAAGGTGACAAAAAGTCTATCTAATTTTTAAAAGGCTTTATATACATTGCAAAAGGAGGAGAAAGCACTTAAAATTACGTTATCTAAAGTGAATGGTCTAAGAAAAAGAAGAGAGGTACTCTCATCCTTTATTTTCAACAGGGAGAATTAAACCTTTTCTTTTAAATTTTTATATACCCTTACACAGACAACTAATTTAAGAATTCCAAAGGTGAAAAAGTGTTCAACCCAGAAAGACTGCACTGCGTTTTATTTTTTCTTATTGATTTGTGAGTGCTCACTCCTATTGAGGGTAGTATTTATCTTTCATACCCTGCACATATATTTCCATAGTACAGTTGACCCTTGAACAACATGGGTTTGAACTGTGCAGGTCCACTTATATGTAGATTTTTTCAGTACATACAAAGATATACATGCAGAAGAACATCATGTGTGAGATTTGTATTGAAGTGGATAGCCTATTTTTACGTAGGCATAAAGTGAGTGATATTTAACATAAAATTAATAATATGTTAGTTTTCTTATGGTTTTATAGTTTTGCTTTTAAAGAATTACATTACTGTACAGTATGCTTTTCTCTTATAATTGGAGAATCTGCATATCAGCTTATCATCACGGGTAAGTGGTTTTTTTTAAAAAAGTAGCAATGTTTTTAATACTGTATTATGAATGTGACTGTAATACTGTATGTCATAAAAATTTTATAATGATTTATTCATTAGCGTATAGGCTAGGCTACCATGAAGCAATCATATTGATTACACTAGGCTACTGTAAAGCAGTCATGTTGCTGCTTCTTTGTTATCAATCCATGAATCACTTAACCTGTAAATAAATATGAATTTCTGTTTCACATTATCTTTTCGTTTTTGATGTCTAGTGTTAGTTATATATATAACACCTGCAGTGTTTTGTATCATATAAGACAATATTGATATAGGTACTGACAGACAATTCATCTTGTGAACTGACGATATAAACTTATGTTATCAATAAACAGTACAGTACTGTAAATATATTTTCTCCTATGATTTTCTTAACATTTTAAATCTAGCTTAGTTTATTATAAGAATACAGTATATAAGACATATAACATAAAACATATGTGTTAATCGACTATGTTATCGGTAAGGCTGTTAGTAGTTAAGTTTGGAGGAGTCAAAAGTTATAGGCAGATTTTCAACTGTGCTGGGGGTCAGTGTTCCTAACCCTCTTTGTTGTTCAAGGGTCAACTGTATTTCTTTTGTTTTCTAATTTCACAGTATGTTTTACTACGCACAAATACTAAGACTCCTTACCCCCAGGAGGCTTGGAGGAAGCTGCAGTGAAATTTCATTTGATTGAAATGGTCAAAGTCTAAAAATTCATTGTGAAAACAAAAAGAGCTAGAAATTGGAAGGTCTTTTCTCTGCCAGCCCTCTTGGAAATATCTGAAAAACACTTTTAACACAGCCTTAAGTTTAATGAACATAAGCAATATTAATTAATCTAGCAAAGCTTCCTTGCAATATTCTGCCAAATTCTAGAACTTCTGCTACGTACATCTAGTCTATGAGGGCTAAATAAGAGAGCGCCCTTTCTGTGCTACCCCTGCCCCCCACCCAAAGGCATGCCTTCCTGATACTTGGGCTTGATTCTCCAAATCTCTGGGGTTGATAACTTTTGCTGACGGTAGGTAGGTATACAGCACTACACCATTAAGGTCATAAGTGGTGGCATAGCTTGCTTCTTCTTGCTTGTTATCACCATCATCTTTCTCACTTTCCTCAGATGCTTTTCCTTTGCTGGTTAGGGTCCATTCTGAAACCTTTGTGATTCCCCTACTCCCAAGAAGCTTCTGAAAGTTTCTCTTTCTCATGAGTTCTCTGACCACCAACCTGCTCTACGTGAAACATCTCTGTTACAGCTAATCACACAACACATGCTTTTTACTACGTAAATGTACTTAGAATAATGAGTCACCTAGAGGTAATCACTGATGTAGAATATGATACTGCAAGTCAGCAGTTTCCTCCTTCCCCAAGAAATCCTACAATATGTAAAGTTTTCCTAGTTTCAACCATAAGATGTTGGTAATTAACCTTATTAGCAATCATGAAAAAGGCAATGATTTTTCACTTTTTGGAGACACAGACTCTTTTGAACTATTGAGAAGGAAGGAGCCCAAAAGGACAAGAGGAGCCCCATTTAATACAGGGAAACTGCAATTCGTTAAAACTACCCTAGCAGTGTACAAAGACTTAGGTGACGGCCAAGCTTTAAACATTTAGTCAGTTGGCTATTTGGCATTATGCCTCTTAAACATACAGATGATTGATTTCATTTTTAAATCACTAGACCACATCATCTTGATGTTTTGACATTTTGTCCATGGCCTCAGCAGGCAGTGATTTTAAAGAGCTCTCTACTGCCGTCTCATGGTGAAAGAATGAATGGCTGGGAGTTAGGAGGCAAAGCTGGCTCTACCACTAGCAGGTAAGTTTGGGTAAATTGGATAATTTTGGGTAAATTACTGTGTGTGGGCCTCAGTTTCCTCTTTTATAAATTGCAAGTTGAATTGATTATAAAATTCTTTAAATATAGAGCTGCCTAATTGGCAAGAAAAATGCTTAGAACTCTGTGAATAACTTTGCATAAAGCCATGCATTTTGGCTTCTGTGCAGTTTTCATTTGACTTGTAATGTACTCCCTGACTCACAGGTTCAAGTGATTTATAAGGAGTTCATGTCATCCCTATGAATTAATACACCCATATACTCTTCCTATCCCAGGGCTTAGGGGCAACTTCTTCTTTTGAATACAATAACGGCATTCTTCATGAGGATAATTGAAAGCTTTTGCCCTCAACCAACAAAACAGGTTTTAATCAAAAAGTTGAATGCAGAGATTCCTCCTCAGAAGTTGAATAAATCAAGTACAAACCAGGATGCAGATACAGAGGATCAAAGTGGAAATTACCTCTGCCGCTCCCTTGAAGAGCAAATTGTTTTATTGACTTTTCTTCAACACAGTTCTTGTTCTGCCTTGTAGCGGTTTTTCATATTTGCATTTTTTTTAAAAAAAAATTTGATGATCTATAAGGAAGGAGACAAAGATCTTTGACTAACACAGCCTCTGTCTCGCTAGAGGCAGAGCTAACTTTGGCATTGTACTTTTTAATTACAGCGGAGACTTCCATGGCCTCCCGAGTAAAAGCCTGCTATGGCCTTTGCTTTCAGAAAGCAGACAAGGGTGCAGGTAAGAAAACAAGGGCATCTCAGTCTTCCCGAAAATGGGAGCCTGAGATGCTTATGTCAGGAGGAATTGCTTGAGCAATGTCTGTCCCTATCCAGACTTTAGCTTCCTGGGGACTGGCAGAGATACAGTGAATCCCTCTCTTGAGAATTTCTGAGGGACACACACGACAGGCCTCGTTTTACAACTTAATCAACCCAAAGGGTATGAGCAGCAGTGCTTTTTGCCTGATAGTTATGTAAGATGAAAGGAGTCTCAAAGTCGAATGAAACTGTGTTATTCAGCTGCTTTCATTTACTCTAAAGGCATCCCACTGTATAGGTTATGCATGAATTTCTCCCATTTGCAGGAGTAAAGCACAGTAACCAGAAGTCATCAATGTTTTATAAGCTGTGACTAATCTTTTACATAGTCTTTCTCTGTGTGTGTGTGTGTGTGTGTGTGTGTATGTGTGTGTGTTCAAAATCTTTTCTATTGGCTGATATTTAGCTGCTACTTTATGGTACTATTATTATTATCTTCTAGATCACTTGAGACCATGGCATCTGTGGGGTTTAGGATTGATAGTGTTGTTAGGGAAGCCTGCGCTCCCAAGCCTTTAGAGGGCTTTGAAATATTGTGTTTGAGAATGGCAACAAATAAATCTGAAGCTTTGCCTTCCAGAAGCGGCAGCATGGTGCATTTCCAGCATCCTCTTGGCTTTCAGGGAGCTGTTGCCACCCAAAAATAGTGGTGGGCTCATAAATGTTCAGCAAATCATGATAATGAATCTGGCCAGGGCAAACGTAGCCAGTGTGTGTTTTTTTAATCATGCATCATTTAGTACAAAGAGGACTCTTGGATGTTTTGGCAAATTAATTTGTATTGCACTTCAGAGGAGGGAGAAAGCAGCTGGGCTCTAGCCCATGGAGCTGCACTGGCTGGATCTGCTAATAAAGCTGCTGCTGCCACGGCCTCCTATGAAAGCACAAATGGAACCGTTAGGCGCAGAGACTTCTCTGGAGCTTCCCTCCAGGGTTTTGGTTGAAGCCATGTCAGTCCTTCTCCGGTGGTTCCCAGAGTTCCTATTGTGCTTTGTCAGAAACTTCAGTGCAGCAACCAAGCAACCATTTCCAAAAGAATCATCCTCTATAATTTCAATATCAGTCACAATGCCACCTTCTTTGAAATCTGATTAAATAGGTACTCCTGGATATTTTTACAATTCAAATGTAACTCCTCCCTGACCACTGTGTGATATTTTGTATAACCCGTCATGAAAAGTCTTACGTGGCCTAGGTATTTTTCTAGGTGTTGATTTAAAGGCAAATGGTCTGAAACAAAATCACATTGGAAAAAATTTTTAAATTTACTTTTCTTAAGGAAAGATCACATGGGAAATGGAAGGAGAGAGAGCTGTATGTTAATACACACATACACACATTAGAAATCGTCCCCAGTGTCTATCATTGTAACAGCCGCTGCATGAATGGCTGCGGTTACCCCCAAACTCTCCATCATTAAATCTCATCTTCCAACTGAATTATACCCCAACAGCCAGCACACACGAGCAACCAGGTTTTCTTTTCTTCTTCAAAATCACCTCTCCTTTTTTTTTTTTTTTTTTTTGGGTTCCGCGGGCCTCTCCCCGTTGTGGCCTCTCCCGTTGCAGAGCACAGGCTCCGGATGCACAGGCTCAGCGGCCATGGCTCACGGGCCCAGCCGCTCCATGGCATGTGGGATCTTCCCGGACCGGGGCACAAACCCGTGTCCCCTGCATCGGCAGGCGGACTCTCAACCACTGCGCCACCAGGGAAGCCCTCACCTCTCCTTTTTGTTCGGTTGCCATTCAGTCCTTTAAAAAAAAAAATTGGGAATATATATTTTTGATGCAAAGCCTCTATTCTTTGATTGTTTTTCCGGTTCTGCCTCTTAACCATTGCTAGAGTTCTGCAGGAACTATCCTTGCTCCTCTGCTTAGAGGGCAGAGGAGCGGGAGAAGCCACAGAACTTTCTCTAGCAGGAGGGAAGGAAGGCTGGGACTATGCATATTTTAATAATTTTTTAATGGTTACAGTCTTTTCTCTAGGTATACATCACCTCCTCCTAAAAATAGATAAGAAAATCGTGCTGTTTTCTGTCTTTCAGAGGAGCTCTAGGGTACCAGGGGTAGCTGAGGCCTGGGGTTAATTTAAGGTGTCTTGTAATGGAAGTGTGTCTCTTGAGACCTTGCAGAATTGAGTTGGAGTTAACAAAGAGACTTAGGAAGAACAAAGGCTTTTCATATCATTTAATACCGTCATTTAATACTAAAATATAATTTTTTTAATATTTTGAGTGATGAGTAATTCTATGACAATCTTCATCTGTAAGAGTTTAGCATTTTAATTAATTTATACCTTAAGCCTATGTGTTTGGTTATTTGGTTGCTAAATGGTTTCAAGGACTCTTTAGTCCTTGGAAAGGCTGATAGGCAAGTGTTTCATGGTACGATCCCTTCCAATAGACTTTGTGATGGTAATGACGATGATGATAGCTAATATTTATGGAGAAGCTGATTTGTGCTGTGCCTTTGAGAACTTTATGTATATTAATTTAATCTTCATAACAACCTCATTAGTAGGAACTCCTATTATTTCCATTTTTCATATGAGGAAACAGAGGCACAGAGAAGTTAAGTAACTCTGAAGTGGGCTTGGTGCCAAGCTGCTTGTATTCACTGAGCACAAGTAGTGATGCATTCACTGTGCAGCCTTTAATAAACGGCCAAACAGAACTTACCCTAGGGCTGCCTTTGGTGGGCTGTCAGCCAGTTTGCCACCTCTGCTCGACATTTATCTCTATTAGAAGCACAGATTGGAAAGTTGCCACCGGCTTCTGATGTCAGATAATGTGCCATCCAGCTACACATTAATAAATAAGGATAGGAAATAGAATCACAGCTTTTGGCCTTTCTGTGGGAGAAAGACTATGGACTTTAGGGCACCCAGTTTCTGAACAAATTAAAGACGTTTCTATAGAATTATGGTTAGCAGTTTTCAAATCTGAGCATCTGCTATTTTGTGCCCAGTAATGTGCCAGGTAGACGTAATAGAGAACATAAAAGAAGCAGAAAAATACTATTAGCAGTTTTAGAGCCACCTACAACTTTGTCGGAGAAATATGACAACACGCTGGCAGTAATAGTACATGAGCACGTTTGAGTAAGGTTCAAGGTGTGCTGTTCAGATAACGACTATTAGGGGAGCTTTGTATTGCATAGTGGAGACTGGACCTAACACAGGGGAAACACGTGACTGTTTCAACAGTTCCATCATCCACAAGCCCTGGGAAATACAAAATGTCATCCCACGTTTACCATCTTCAAAGCCTTGAAATACAGCTTGACTATCAGCACTGAGACAAAAATTGGCCAGTGATCTTTTTCTGCATTGACTTTGGATTCATAGATGTGCAGGTGAGTGTTAGAATCAGTACTGCAAGGTGCAGGGTGACTTCTACAAGTGTCTTTGCCACATGCTGTAAGGCTTGGGTCATTGTTCTTCACTGGTCCCGAAATGTCCAGTGACATGGCATGGCCCAAATAGCTAAACCCTTCATTCTTTGTAAGCAGAACTGCTACTATGTGTCAGGTTCTCTGCTAGCTTTCTGAAGATATTTCAAATTCTAGGAAGGCCAAGTGCAGAATTTAGTCTCAGAAAATCTGTGTTCTAATCCTGGCTCTTTCCTTAACTTACATTGAGGCGGAATAAAAGTCAATTTACTTACCTTGGCTTCAACTCCACATTTGTGAATGAGAAATCGGCTATATCTGTTGTTCATAAGCTGTTCCATGGAGTTCTGTGGTTTCTTTCTCAGCGTTGCTGGGGATATTCTGGAACAGCGGTTCTCAACAAGGGCCAGTTTCCTACTCTCATTCCCAGAGGACATTTTGGTCATGTCTGGGGAATGTGTTTGCTACTGGCATCTAGTGGGTAGAGGCCACAGATGTTGCTAAACACTCTACAGTATATGAGATAGCTCTCGTAACCAAGAATTATGTGGCCTAAAATACCGATAGCACGCAGGTTGAGAAAACTTGCCATGGAAGATGTGTATGAGCCAGAGCCTCTAACCCACTAACGGCAAAGTACAACCATTTTTATTTGCTGGGTGCAGCAGACATAAATTTGACAGGCAATAAACAAATGTTCAAAGTTTAATTTTCTTTATTTCCTATAATTGAGCTTAAATTGTATCTTAATTCCCCCACTCTGGTTCTCAGTCAATTCAGAGTGTGCACTAAGGTATTTCAAGGTTCTGATCCTTTCTTTTCTTCTCTTCAGCTCCCAATCTACCTCTGGGGCTTGAAAAACATCCTGGAATTGGGAGGAAGTGGATGTCTAGTTCATGGCCACCTTTGATTCTACACTCTTACCTGCAGCCATGCACCCCTCTTTGCTAATCTTCAGCCACCAGGTTTGTTTTTTATTGAAGTATTGTTGATTTACAATATTGTGTTAGTTTTAGGTGTACAGCATAGTGATGCAGTATTTTGGGAGATTATATTTCATTATAGGTTTTACAAGGGTATAATTTCTTGTGCTATACAGTAAATCCTTGTAGCATATCTATTTTAAAACTAGTAGTTTTTATCTGTTAATCCACACCCCTACTTTGTCCCTCCCCACCCCTCTCCCTTTTGGTAACCACAAGTTTATTTTCTATGTCTGTGAGTCTCTTTCTGCTTTGCATATACATTCGTTTGTATTATTTTTTAGATTCCACATATAAGTGATATCATATAGTATTTGTCTTTCTCTGTGTGACTTATTTCACTAAGCGTAATCTTCCCTAGGCACATCCACGTTGCTGTAAATGGCAGTATTTTAAGATTTAATTTGTTTAGAGATGTTCACAGCAAAACCGAGGGGAAGGTATGGAGAGTTCCCATATACCCCCTGCCCTACACATGCACAGCCTCCCTATTATCAACATGCCCCACCAGAGTGGGACATTTGTTACACCTTATGAGCCTACACTGACACAGCATAGTTACCCCAAGTCTATAGTTTACCTTAGGTTTCACTCTTGGTGTATATTTTTTGGGTTTGGACAAATGCATAATGACATATATCCATTGTTATGGCATCATACAGAATATTTTCACTGCCTGTTCATCCCTCCCTGCCCCTCCCCTAACCCCTGACAACCATTGATCTTTTCACTCTCCCTCCCTCCCTCCCTCTCTTTCTCTTTCCCTGAACCTCCCTTTTTACTATCTATCTATTTGTCTGTCTATCTATCTATCTATCTATCTATCTAATCTTTAGTATAGGTAATAATTTCTGCTTTTGATTTAGGACACTAAAATTTAAATCCCTAATGGCAGGGCAAGGATTTATTTGAAAAGCATTGCATGTCATTCATTCATTCAAAGAATATTTATTTTTCTAGATTCCACATATATGCATTAATATATGATATTTGTTTTTCTCTTTTTTGACTTACTTCACTCTGTATGACACTCTCTAGGTCCATCCACATCTCTGCAAATGACCCAATTTCGTTCCATTTTATGGTGAGTAATATTCCATTATATATATGTACCACATCTTCTTTATCCATTCCTCTGCTGATAGACATTTAGGTTGCTTCCATATCCTAGCTATTGTAAATAGTGCTGCTATGAACATCGGGGTGCATGTGTCTTTTTGATTTATGGTTTTCTCTGGGTATATGCCCAGTAGTGGGATTGCTGGGTCATATGGTAGTTCTATTTTTAGTTTTTTAAGGAACCTCCATGCTGTTCTCCATAGTGGCTGTATCAATTTACATTCCCACCAACAGTGCAAAAGGATTCCCTTTTCTCCACACCCTCTCCAGCATTTATTGTTTGTAGATTTCCTGATGATGGCCATTCTGACCGGTGTGAGGTGATACCTCATTGTAGTTTTGACTTTCATTTCTCTAATGATTAGTGATGTTGAGAAACTTTTCATGTGTCTCTTGGTCATCTGTATGTCTTCTTTGGAGAAATATATATTTAGGTCATCTGCCCATTTTTGTATTGGGTTGTTTGTTTTTTTGATATTGAGCTGCATGAGCTGCTTGTATATTTTGGAGATTAATCCTTTGTCAGTTGCTTCGTTTGCAAATATTTTCTCCCATTCTGAGGGTTGTCTTTTCATTTTGTTTATGGTTTCCTTTGCTGTGCAAAAGCTTTTAAGTTTCATTAGGTCCCATTTGTTTATTTTTGTTTTTTATTTACATTACTCTACAAGGTGGGTCAAAAAAGATCTTGCTGCGATTTATGTCAAAGAGTGTTCTGCTTATGTTTTCCTCTAAGAGTTTTATAGTGTCTGGACTTACATTTAGGTCTTTAATCCATTTTGCGTTTATTTTTGTGTATGGTGTTAGGGCGTGTTCTAGTTTCATTCTTCTACATGTAGCTGTCCAGTTTTCCCAGCACCACTTATTGAAGAGGCTGACCTCATTTGCCAAGCAGAAATAGAGGCACAGATGTAGAGAACAAATGTATGGATACCGAGGGGGAAAGGGGTGGGGTGGAAGGAATTGGGAGACTGGGATTGACACATATACAATATTGATACTATGTATAAAATAGACAACTGATGGGAACACACTGTATAGCACAGGGAACTCTACTTAATGCACTGTGGTGTCCTAAATGGGAGGGAAATCCAAAAGGGAGGGGATATATGTATATGTCTGGCTGATTCATTTTGCTGTGCAGTAGAAGCTAACACAACATTGTAAAGCAACTCTACTCCAATAAAAATTAATTTTGAAAAAGGAATATTTATTGACTATATATTCCATGGATAAACCCCTTGACCTAGTCTAGTACCTAGAAGATTAGATCCTATTCCTGCTTGTATTATTAACTTGTGATGTGATTCTGAAAAAAGCCACTTAATCTTTATATGGCTCAATTACTTCATCTTTAGCATTTCTATGGTTTTATTTTAATGGTTAGACATACGTATCTTTTTCTCCCACTGGCCACCCCTGGCATATATAACTTTTGTAGAATCTAATGTGTATGTAAGTGTAACTCCTAGGTTTAATGCTTTAAACTACCCATGGCTAAATACTCAAACAGTGCTGTTTCACCATTGTTATCATTTTTAGCAGTCATTATCTGATAAACTGCACAGCAAATAAAAATTGCTGATCTAATGAATGTAAGCCATTGCCAACCCAAGAACTAAAATCCATTTTGACTACAAATAAACTTTCTGTATTTCAGATAAAGTCTAAATTATAACATGTCAATTTTTATTCAAAGCAATCTGACAAATAAGTCAATTCAGCTGAAAACAAAGTAAAATCAATCTATTCTTCCTTTCTTTCCATTTAATTCCCTGAGTTTGGGCAAAATGTAATCAATGCAGGGTCATGTTGAAAGCTAACACATTTATCTGGTGGGTCAGCTTTCTGATTAAAGAAGGAACACTGAACTTTTAGTCAGGACAACTTTCTGGAAAGTGTAGCTTTTCAGTCATGCTTCATCTGCTATTGGAGTCATTTATTATGAAATCCATTCATTTAAAGAAAGGTGTAGGTAATTAGATTTCACCTCAAAGCTTTGCTATCTGGTGGGAGCTAACATTTTAAATTAAGGGGACTTTTTGAAGGGCACATTTATATGGGGCTTACTGTTGGGTCCCAAGGGAAAAAAATCACCTACCTACCATTGCTAAACCTCATGGCATACTTCCAAAATGCTTCCCTGGAGGTTCTCTGTCCCTGTTAATGCCCATATTTCTACCTCTTCCTAAAAAACGGATTATCTTGTTATTGATGTTGAATGATAAGTCTCTGAGTTCACATGTTCACATTGACCTTTGAATCAGAGTAGCTTATAACTCTATCAGCTGACTGTGTAACTCATTCTTCCTAAAATTCTGGTTGAAGGTATGACGCTAGTTGCGTTCTAGTCTCCAGTTGGAATATGCACCGTGTTTAAAAGTGTGCTTGTGCACCCACAGATGAGAGGCAGAAAGAGTAAAGGAGGAGTGCAATACAGATCTTGCTATAGGTCCCATTATTGTTCTTCCCACAGTCTGATTGATTGTAATTCTGATCCCCATGCTGGCTCTACATTGGGTAATTATGGAATGCTGGGTAAAGCATTCACCTACCCTTTCTTCCCTTGCCAGGGTATTTGATGAAGATGGTGATGGGCTCTAAACAGTTTCTGTTGATGTTAGTCAGCATATATTCAAAGGCTAGTCTAGTACATTTTCTGCAAACATGAATAAGCCAGGATTTTTGTCCTTTAAAAATTCACAAGGCTTTAAGATGAATAACTAAAGAAAAATAACCTGTATACCACTATCATCTGAAATTTCATTTATAAGAGATAGTGTTATGGTGTTTCTGTTATTACAGATTCAGTATTGGTTGGAGTTACACCAAGATCCCTATCATCTAGCTATTTTGTAGGTGAGGAATATGATACTCAGCTAGATCACTTAGATGCTTCTGCTTTACATATTCTGTTCTTAAGGAGATCTCTTAATGCCCCCGTATTTAAAGTGAACACAGTCAAGACTCATCTCTTGAGCTAATAAGATCTAATCTGTAGAAGAATCTGACTGCAATTGTTTCTTGTTAAATGTTCATTTATTCAGAGAAAGCACAGAAGAGTTTATGGATCATTTGAAGCTTATCAGGATCTATTTAATAAAGAGAGGCAGTTGGAACTGCATATTTTCAGTTGTGCAAAAGGAAACTAATAAGAGATGGATATAATCATGGCTTCTATGAAAGGCAGCTTGCAACACAGGTAACATTGCCTCCCACTGAGTTTATGTAGCAAGGTAAACTCAGCTGCTGATTGTCTTGTGCTGTTGTGCAGAGGCCTGTCACAATACAGTATAATGGGGATGTATCAAAGCACCATCCACCCCTACAGGTCAAAGTATTCTAATACCTTGTATTTATGTAGCACCTGGCCCCAGGGACCTCACTGTTTCGTGTGCTGACACACAACATTTCTCCCTGATTACATTTTGCAAGCCCCTGCAGCCACTGTGTGACCGCTGTGCAAATCCAGCCATAACTGCATGCTTCGAGTGTAGAAACAGAATGGTACTTGGGAATCCAGCCCCAAGTTTGAACTTTAAGTGCAATGCTACATGATGAATTAAAGGCAAGGAGGCTTGGGCCGGCCATCAGAAAGGGCTTCGCCTCCAGAACACCGTTTAGTGTAAAATTAGGTTCAAGGATAAAGTGCTCATGGCTGGTAGTATTAAAAAAAAAATGACTAGGCATTATAGATTATTATTAAGAAGTAAAGTTAGAGACCAGTTATCAAGAGAAAGATTGTCTGAATTGTTGGTCCAGTCTAATCACCGTGTATTTCCTGTGTGTCAATGACTCATCACGACACAGTAAAAGAACTATGCTTATTTATTTATTTTATTTATTATTATTATTTTTGTGGTACGCAGGCCTCTCACTGTTGTGGCCTCTCCTGTTGCAGAGCACAGGCTCCGGACGCACAGGCTCAGCGGCCATGGCTCACGGGCCCAGCCGCTTCGCGGCATGTGGGATCCTCCCAGACTGGGGCACGAACCCGTGTGCTCTGCATCGGCAGGCGGACTCTCAACCACTGCGCCACCAGGGAAGCCCGAACTACACTTATTTAAATCTATATCATACCACAGCTCTACTTGTGGGAGAAAACTCTAACAGAGGCAGGAGAAATTTGTGGCTCAGGGAGCATCAGACATGTCCAAGCTATCTGGGAACTGGCAGACCTCCCAGTGCAGCAATTTAACACATTTACTGGGGGTAGTGGAATACCCCTGTATATCAAAGGGATGTATATTCAGTTTTTCTCAACGTATTTTCTGGATGTGTGTATCGATGCTTTCCCTGACTGTGCTATAAAGTATACAGGGTCCTCAGAACCCAGAAAAACATGTGGCCATGATTTCCACATAACACTAATGTCTCCAGGGTAGACACTTATTTATAACAAACTAATGGTGTTGAAAATCGCCCCTCCTACCTGCCCCTCTTCCTGTTGTCTTTCTGGTACATGGCCTAAGGGCAATGATTCCTTCTCTTCTGTCATTAGCTTGGCCTGTTATTTATAGGTAGAATGATAATCCTCTTAGTTTTGTATGTGAGAAAATCCAATAAAACCTTCAAGATCAAACCCCAAATAGGACACCAGTTACCATATTGACTAACTTGCCAACATATTGTCATAACCATCAGTATGAAGGAATGGAAAGAAATTAATAACTATGGGTCATCAAGACGAGGGTAGGGACATTTTCTTCCACACTCAGAATGAATGAGTGTACGATAAATCCAAGACCTTTGTAGAGCTCCACTGCTGTGACTCTTGCCTTAGGCTCAGTGCTTTTGTAGCAACCTCTCTAGTCTCCTTCTGGTTGCTTCACTCCCCACAGGGAGAGTAGTGCACTGGGGACCAAGGGGACATGTCCACTTAAAACCCACTCTCCCCTTATAGTACGCACTCAAGCTACCACAACCTGATATCAGTTGGTTCCAAATCCAGTTCCATTGATTTTGTGT